CCCTCCAGTGACTTTATCAATACAAACTCTAGGATATAATTGGAAGACATTATAACTAGATACGAATTTTGAGGTAATCAGTCCCTCAGTCTTGTAGTTTATCACCAACTACAAGACTGAGGGACTGATTACCTCATCTTTCATATATAATTCTACACTTTTCTCATTATGTTGTTGTATTGATAAAGTTACTGGAGGGCGAAACGTCTACAAATAAAGATACCCAGATGTTGCACATGTGTCTAATTTTCATCTTATCGGTACTGTATACCACTTATGTACATAAGGAGGAGCACTGCAGCAGGCCTACTGGCCCATACCTGGCAGATCCTCTCATACACACACCACACACACACACACACACACACACACACACACACACACACACACACACACACACACACACATATATATATATATATATATATATATATATATATATATACACCACAGTGTGTGTGTGTGTGAGTGTGTGTATGTGTGTGTGTGTGTGTGTGTGTGTGTGTGTGTGTGTGTGTGTGTGTGTGTGTGTATGTGTGTGTGGTGTGTGTTTTACAATCACTTGCACAACACAGCATCAGTCAGCAAGACACACATACTGTCTGCTACAACAGTTCAGTCTTGGTTTTTCAATTACTGGTTTAACGCACTAATACTCGCTAAACCACTGTGTTATACCACCTGAGTATATTAAATCCTGTAGGAAAACCCACTGGTCACGTGACCAGAAGCTGTACTCAGTGAGTCAGTACATGACTAACAACAGTGACCAGGAAGACATAACTAGATGTACTCAGTGAGTCAGTACATGACTAACAACAGTGACCAGGAAGACATAATAGATTGTACTCAGTGAGTCAGTACATGACTAACAACAGTGACCAGGAAGACATAACTAGATGTACTCAGTGAGTCAGTACATGACTAACAACAGTGACCAGGAAGACATAACTAGATGTACTCAGTGAGTCAGTACATGACTAACAACAGTGACCAGGAGCTGTCTGCCACAACACACTCAGCTCTCAGTTGGTTAATGGGGTTGAAGTCTGTCTACTACACGAGGGTCATTAAGAGTGACTGACTGGTTAATGGGGTTTGAAATTAATCTACTACACGAGGGTCATTAAGGGTGACTGACTGGTTAATGGGGTTTGAAATTAATCTACTACACGAGGGTCATTAAGGGTGACTGGTTAATGGGGTTTGAAATTAATCTACTACATGAGGGTCATTAAGGGTGTCTGACTGGTTAATGGGGTTTGAAATTAATCTACTACATGAGGGTCATTAAGGGTGTCTGACTGGTTAATGGGGTTTGAAATTAATCTACTACACGAGGGTCATTAAGGGTGACTGACTGGTTAATGGGGTTTGAAATTAATCTACTACACGAGGGTCATTAAGGGTGACTGACTGGTTAATGGGGTTTGAAATTAATCTACTACACGAGGGTCATTAAGGGTGACTGGTTAATGGGGTTTGAAATTAATCTACTACACGAGGGTCATTAAGGGTGACTGACTGGTTAATGGGGTTTGAAATTAATCTACTACACGAGGGTCATTAAGGGTGACTGACTGGTTAATGGGGTTTGAAATTAATCTACTACACGAGGGTCATTAAGGGTGACTGGTTAATGGGGTTTGAAATTAATCTACTACACGAGGGTCATTAAGGGTGACTGGTTAATGGGGTTTGAAATTAATCTACTACACGAGGGTCATTAAGGGTGACTGGTTAATGGGGTTTGAAATTAATCTTCTACACGAGGGTCATTAAGGGTGACTGACTGGTTAATGGGGTTTGAAATTAATCTACTACACGAGGGTCATTAAGGGTGACTGACTGGTTAATGGGGTTTGAAATTAATCTACTACACGAGGGACATTAAGGGTGACTGGTTAATGGGGTTTGAAATTAATCTACTACACGAGGGTCATTAAGGGTGACTGACTGGTTAATGGGGTTTGAAATTAATCTACTACACGAGGGTCATTAAGGGTGACTGGTTAATGGGGTTTGAAATTAATCTACTACACGAGGTCATTAAGGGTGACTGGTTAATGGGGTTTGAAATTAATCTACTACACGAGGGTCATTAAGGGTGACTGGTTAATGGGGTTTGAAATTAATCTACTACACGAGGGTCATTAAGGGTGACTGGTTAATGGGGTTTGAAATTAATCTACTACACGAGGGACATTAAGGGTGACTGGTTAATGGGGTTTGAAATTAATCTACTACACGAGGGTCATTAAGGGTGACTGGTTAATGGGGTTTGAAATTAATCTACTACACGAGGGTCATTAAGGGTGACTGGTTAATGGGGTTTGAAATTAATCTACTACACGAGGGACATTAAGATTGTATGATAATTATATACCGTCTAGAATACGTATAACAGTAATTAATCTTTCAGTTTGTATATACTGAGAGAACACCTGTCAAAATACACCATATATACCAACAAAACTTAACAAACCAGTGCCAGGAGCTATGCATCGACCGCCACAAACACAATTATCTCGACACCTCTCCTGGTAGCCGTTGAAGGGTGAGGCTAACTTATTAAAGAAGAGGGGCCAGGAGCTGTGTGTCGACCCCTGCAACCACAATTAGGGAAGCTTCACACGGCAGGCCAGAAAGATGGTAAGATATAAATAACGTAACGTATATTGTTTTATTAGGTGTGAGGGTGGGTTGGGTGGGTTGAAGTGGGTGGTGGGTTGAGGTGGGTTGTGGTGGGTTGAGGTGGGTTGTGGTGGGTTGAGGTGGGTTGTGGTGGTTGAGGTGGGTTGTGGTGGGTTGAAGTGGGTGGTGGGTTGAGGTGGGTTGTAGTGGGTTGAGGTGGGTTGTAGTGGGTTGAAGTGGGTGGTGGGTTGAGGTGGGTTGTAGTGGGTTGTGGTGGGTGGTGGGATGAGGTGGATTGTGGAGGGTTGAGGTGGATGGTGGGTTGAGGTGGGTTGTGGTGGGTTGTGGTGGGTTGAGGTGGGTTGTGGTGGGTTGTGGTGGGTTGTGGTGGGTTGAAGTGGGTGGTGGGTTGAGGTGGGTTGTAGTGGGTTGAAGTGGGTGGTGGGTTGAGGTGGGTTGAGGTGGGTTGTGGTGGGCTGAGGTGGGTTGTGGTGGGCTGAGGTGGGTTGTGATGGGTTGAGGTGGATGGTGGGTTGTGGTGGGTTGTGGTGGGTTATAACTGATATGGAAGTGATCTGAGAGTCAGTAAGGGTGGCTGAAGTGTATTAATTAGGTGACGTCAAGTTCCTAGTGATGTCAGGAGCACTGAGGTTGCCTAACACCCAGGCAGGCACCTCACCCGTGACTGACACCACCTTGACACAACAATGACAACCAGACACGACCAAACACGATACAGGCACGACCAGACACGACCGAGCACGACACAGGCACGACCAGACACGTTCCAACAAAACAAACACGACCAAACAGAACACAGACACGTCCCAACAAGACAGACACGACCAAACACGACACTAACACCGACCAAACACGACACTAACACCGACCAAACACGACACTAACACCGACCAACACGACACTGACACCGACACAGCGACTTGCACCGTCTCACAACTTGATCGCCCTGCCGACCAATCATCATAGCGACCGATCATCGATTCCCTCAGCAGGTCGACCAATCAGAGCGCCAGGCGACCAGATCGATCACGGCGCTGCGCACCACCTTCCTGATTGATCGGTCAACTATATCCTTCAATAAACGCCATCTATTTTTTAACTCTGCTTTCTATACAGTAAATACATCTTCTACATTCTACAGTAAATACATCTTCTAACTTCTAAATACAGTAAAATACATCTACCTTCTAAATACAGTAAATACATCTTCTATATTTTATATACATTAAAATCTACCTATGTACAGGAAAATCTACCTCCTATGTATAGGAAAATCTACCTCCTATGTACATCAAAATCTACCTCCTATGTACAGGAAAATCTACCTCCTATGTACATCAAAATCTACCTATGTACAGGAAAATCTACCTCCTATGTACAGGAAAATCTACCTCCTATGTACATCAAAATCTACCTCCTATGTACAGGAAAATCTACCTCCTATGTACAGGAAAATCTACCTATGTACAGGAAAATCTACCTCCTATGTACAGGAAAATCTACCTCCTATGTACAGGAAAAGCTACCTCCTATATATATCAAAATCTACCTCCTATGTACAGGAAAATCTACCTCCTATGTAGAGGAAAATCTACCTATGTACAGGAAAATCTACCTCCTATGTACAGGAAAATCTACCTCCTATGTACAGGAAAATCTACCTCTTATGTACAGGAAAATCTACCTCCTATGTAAATCAAAATCTACCTCCTATGTACAGGAAAATCTACCTCCTATGTAGAGGAAAATCTACCTCCTATGTACAGGAAAATCTACCTCCTATGTACAGGAAAATCTACCTATGTACAGGAAAATCTACCTCCTATGTAGAGGAAAATCTACCTCCTATGTACAGGAAAATCTACCTCCTATGTACAGGAAAATCTACCTATGTACAGGAAAATCTACCTCCTATGTACAGGAAAATCTACCTCCTATGTACAGGAAAATCTACCTCCTATGTACAGGAAAATCTACCTCCTATGTACAGGAAAATCTACCTCCTATGTAGAGGAAAATCTACCTCCTATGTACAGGAAAATCTACCTCCTATGTACAGGAAAATCTACCTATGTACAGGAAAATCTACCTCCTATGTACAGGAAAATCTACCTCCTATGTACAGGAAAATCTACCTCCTATGTACAGGAAAATCTACCTCCTATGTACAGGAAAATCTACCTCCTATGTAGAGGAAAATCTACCTCCTATGTACAGGAAAATCTACCTCCTATGTACAGGAAAATCTACCTCCTATGTACAGGAAAATCTACCTCCTATGTACAGGAAAATCTACCTATGTACAGGAAAATCTACCTCCTATATACAGGAAAATCTACCTCCTATATAGTATAACTTCTAAAGCTATTTTCTAACTCTACCTTGAGTTAGGTTAGTTACAAGGGGTAAGCTCCAGTTCCTTGGATGTAGAGACCCTCATTAACGTGACTACAACAGTACTTGCGCAACATTTAAAAATCTTGACTGAGGCTGGAACGTTTCAGCAGCCTGTGACTTCCTCAGTGCAGTACAGAGAAGGGTCAGAGATGATGAGAGTGAGGTAATCAGTCCCAGAGATGATGAGAGTGAGGTAATCAGTCCCAGAGATGATGAGAGTGAGGTAATCAGTCCCAGAGATGATGAGAGTGAGGTAATCAGTCCCAGAGATGATGAGAGTGAGGTAATCAGTCCCAGAGATGATGAGAGTGAGGTAATCAGTCCCAGAGATGATGAGAGTGAGGTAATCAGTCCCAGAGATGATGAGAGTGAGGTAATCAGTCCCAGAGATGATGAGAGTAAGGTAATCAGTCCAGAGATGATGAGAGTGAGGTAATCAGTCCCAGAGATGATGAGAGTGAGGTAATCAGTCCCAGAGATGATGAGAGTGAGGTAATCAGTCCCAGAGATGATGAGAGTAAGGTAATCAGACCCAGAGATGATGAGAGTAAGGTAATCAGACCCAGAGATGATGAGAGTAAGGTAATCAGACCCAGAGATGATGAGAGTAAGGTAATCAGACCCAGAGATGATGAGAGTAAGGTAATCAGACCCAGAGCCTCAATGAAGATTAACAAGTGTTGTACGGGTGTCTCAACTTGTAAGTTTTAAGACAGTATATATAGCAACAGTACTTACCGTAGTCTGTGTCTTTTGTAGTGTCGTCTAACTTAACTTCAGGAGACGCCTGTGTGAGATACATTATTATTATTATTATTATTATTATTATTATTATTATTATTATTATTATCAGTAACACTAGTAGAGTACAGTAGTAGTAGTAGTAGTAGTAGTGTAGTGTAGTAGTAGTGGTAGTAGTAGTAGTAGTGGTAGTGGTAGTGTAGTAGTGTAGTGGGAGTATGTAGTGGTAGTAGTAGTAGTAGGTGAGTATGTATAGTAGTAGTAGTAGTGTAGTAGTAGTAGTGAGTAGTAGTAGTAGTGGTATGGTAGTAGTAGTAGTAGTGTAGTAGTTTAGTGTGTAGTAGTAGTGTAGTAGTAGTGGGAGTAGGGAGTGTAGTAGTAGTAGGTAGTAGTAGTAGTGGTAGTAGTAGTAGTAGTGTAGTAGTAGTAGTAGTAGTTGTAGTAGTAGTAGTAGTAGTAGTAGTGTAGTAGTGAGTAGTAGTTAGTAGTAGTGGTAGTGTAGTAGTGGTAGTAGTTAGGTAGTAGTAGTATGGTTAGTGGTAGTAGTAGTAGTAGTAGTAGTAGTAGTAGTAGTAGTAGTATAGTGAGTAGTAGAGGATAGTGGTAGTAGTAGTAGTGTAGTAGTAGTAGTAGTAGTAGTAGTAGTAGTAGTAGTAGTGTAGGTATAGTATAGTAGAAGTAGCAGTAAGTAGTATGAGGGAGTATGTAGTAGTAGTAGTAGTAGTAGAGTAGTAGTAGTAGTAGTAGTAGTAGTAGATAGTAGTAGTGAGTAGTAAGTAGTAGACAGATAGTAAGTAGTTAGTAGTAGTAGTAGTATAGTAGCAGTAAATAGTAGTAGTAGTAGTAGTAGTAGTAGTAGTAGTAGTAAGTAGTAGTAGCATAGTAGTAGTAGTATTAGTATGTAGAAATAGCTAAAGTATGTAGTAAGTATGTAATAGTAGAGAGTAGTAGTAGTAGTGTAGTAGTAGTAGTAGTAGTATAGGTAGTAAGTAGTAGTTAGTAGTTAGTAGTAGTAGTAGTAGAGTATAGTAGTAGTTAGTATAGTGTAGTAGTAGTATAGATAGTAGTTAGTAGAGAGTGGTATGTAGTAATTATATATTATAGTAACTATGTGTCAGTATAGTATATAGTAGGAGTAGTAGTAGTAGTAGTAGTAGAGTAGTAGTAGTAGTAGTGGTAGTAACATTAGTTAGTGTAATTATGTATTCAGAAAATGTATAAAACTGCTAGTGTGCTAGATAAATCATTAGTAATATTCACGGGGAAGTAGTAAGTAGTAGTAGTAGTAGTAGAAGTAGTAGTTAGTAGAGTAAGTAGTAGTAGTAGTAGTAAGTAGTAGTTAGTAGATAGTAGTAGTACAGTGGTAGATTAAGTTTAGTAGTAGTAGTGTGTAAGTACAGTATGTAGTAGTAGTAGTATAGCAGTAGTAGTAGATTATTATAATTATTATCAGACAATTTAAAGCTATGCTAGATAACATGTATAGAAGTTATCAGTGGAAGCAGTAAGGAAGTATAGTATGTAAGAAGTAGTAGCAGTGTAGTAGACATTATAGGTAATATAAGGTGTCTGGAAGACAGTTAAAGCAGTGCTGAAGACAGTGTGAAGATAGTTAGGGAAGCAGCTAAGCAGTGTAGATCAGGAGTAAGGTAGAAGAGCTGATAGACAGTGGTTAAAGCTAGTAGTGATAGACTAGATAGTTGAACAGTGTATGAAGAAGTTTGGAAGACAGTTCTGGAAGACAGTGCTGGAAGACAGTGTGAAGCAGTAGCTGGAGACAGTGCTAAGGAATCGAACAGCTAATAAGGCAGCCTGAAGACAGTTGAAAGGCAGTGCTGGAAGACATGTGAAGACAGTCTGGAAGACAGTGTGAAGCAGTAGTGGAAGACAGTGCTGGAAGACAGTGCTGGAAGACAGTGCTAGAAGGCAGATCTGGAAGACAGGGCTAAAAGGCAGCGCTGGAAGACAGGGTTGAAAGGCAGTGCTGGAAGACAGTGTTGGAAGACAGTTCTGGAAGACAGTGCTGGAAGACAGTGCTGGAAGACAGTGCTGGAAGACAGTGCTAGAAGGCAGATCTGGAAGACAGGGCTAAAAGGCAGCGCTGGAAGACAGGGTTGAAAGGCAGTGCTGGAAGACAGTGTTGGAAGACAGTTCTGGAAGACAGTGCTGGAAGACAGTATTGGAAAGCAGTGCCGGAGGGCAGTGCTGGAAGACAGTGCTAGAAGGCAGCGCTGGAAGACAGGGTTGAAAGGCAGTGCTGGAAGACAGTGTTGGAAGACAGTTCTGGAAGACAGTGCTGGAAGACAGTATTGGAAAGCAGTGCCGGAGGGCAGTGCTGGAAGACAGTGCTAGAAGGCAGCGCTGGAAGACAGGGCTAAAAGGCAGCGCTGGAAGACAGGGCTAAAAGGCAGCGCTGGAAGACAGGGTTGAAAGGCAGTGCTGAAAGACAGTGTTGGAAGTCAGTGCTGGAAAACAGCACTGGAAGACAGCGCTGGAAGACAATGCCACCTAAGCTATGTTTCCGGGGTCAACGCCCCCTGTGTAAGTGTCAGAGGTCCCCGATCGTATTTGTTTGGACCATCACCTCTTTTCTGCAACACTGCAAGCTCCTGATGATGTGCTGGTTGCAACACGAAAGGCTTAGAGCTATCATTCAACTCCCCCTTTGGCTGTTTTGCATAAGAATATAAGAATAGAGGCACACTGCAGCAGAGAAATGGTATGGTGATACCTACAAGGTATGGTGATACCTACAAGGTATGGTGATACCAACAAGGTATGGTGATACCTACAAGGTATGGTTATACCAACAAGATATGGTGATACGAACAAGGTATGGTGATACCTACAAGGTATGGTGATACCAACAAGGTATGGTGATACCAACAAGGTATGGTGATACCAACAAGGTATGGTGATACCAACAAGGTATGGTGATACCTACAAGGTATGGTTATACCTACAAGGTATGGTTATACCAACAAGATATGGTGATACCAATAAGGTATGGTGATACCAACAAGGTATGGTGATACCTACAAGGTATGGTGATACCAACAAGGTATGGTGATACCAACAAGGTATGGTGATACCAACAAGGTATGGTGATACCAACAAGGTATGGTGATACCAACAAGGTATGGTGATACCTACAAGGTATGGTTATACCAACAAGATATGGTGATACGAACAAGGTATGGTGATACCAACAAGGTATGGTGATACCAACAAGGTATGGTGATACCAACAAGGTATGGTGATACCTACAAGGTATGGTTATACCTACAAGGTATGGTTATACCAACAAGATATGGTGATACCAACAAGGTATGGTGATACCAACAAGGTATGGTGATACCTACAAAGTATGGCGATACCAACAAGGTATGGCGATACCAACAAGGTATGGTGATACCAACAAGGTATGGTGATACCAACAAGGTATGGTGATACCAACAAGGTATGGCGATACCAACAAGGTATGGTGATACCAACAAGGTATGGCGATACCAACAAGGTATGGCGATACCAACAAGGTATGGCGATACCAACAAGGTATGGCGATACCAACAAGGTATGGCGATACCAACAAGGTATGGCGATACCAACAAGGTATGGTGATACCAACAAGGTATGGTGATACCTACAAGGTATGGTGATACCAACAAAGGTATGGTGATACCAACAAGGTATGGTGATACCAACAAGGTATGGTGATACCAACAAGGTATGGTGATACCTACAAGGTATGGTGATACCAACAAGGTATGGTGATACCAACAAGGTATGGTGATACCAACAAGGTATGGTGATACCAACAAGGTATGGTGATACCAACAAGGTATGGTGATACGAACAAGGTAAGGCGATACCAACAAGGTATGGCGATACCAACAAGGTATGGCGATACCAACAAGGTATGGTTATACCAACAAGATATGGTGATACGAACAAGGTAAGGCTATACCAACAAGGTATGGCGATACCAACAAGGTATGGCGATACCAACAAGGTATGGTTATACCAACAAGGTATGGTGATACGAACAAGGTATGGCGATACCAACAAGGTATGGTTTCGCTCAGTGGCGAAACGTTTCCTTTAATAAATGTCTTGAACTGTACATAAATGTGCTTAGGACTGAAGAAGTTGTAACTCTGCACACGCTGCAGGAGGCCTACTGGCCCATACACGTCAGGTCCTTATCAAACCCACCCATATATATGGTAGCATTGGGAAAATACTGAACCATCAGTGGCCTTATCAAGAGACATTAATACAGACTTAACACTTAACACATGCTTCTACACTGAGGGACTGATTACCTTATCTTAAGTCTGAGTATAATATTCTACAAGACTGAGGGACTGATTACCTTCTCTTAAGTCTGAGTATAATATTCTGCAAGACTGAGGGACTGATTACCTTCTCTTAAGTCTTCTGAGTATAATATTCTACAAGACTGAGGGACTGATTACCTTATCTTAAGTCTGAGTATAATATTCTGCAAGACTGAGGGACTGATTACCTTATCTTAAGTCTGAGTATAATATTCTGCAAGACTGAGGGACTGATTACCTTCTCTTAAGTCTTCTGAGTATAATATTCTGCAAGACTGAGAGACTGATTACCTTATCTTAAGTCTGAGTATAATATTCTTCAAGACTGAGGGACTGATTACCTTATCTTAAGTCTTGTGAGTATAATATTCTTCAAGACTGAGAGACTGATTACCTTATCTTAAGTCTGAGTATAATATTCTACAAGACTGAGGGACTGACTACCTTATCTTAAGTCTTGTGAGTATAATATTCTCAAGACTGAGGGACTGATTACCTTATCTTAAGTCTTGTGAGTATAATATTCTTCAAGACTGAGGGACTGATTACCTTATCTTAAGTCTTGTGAGTATAATATTCTACAAGACTGAGGGATGATACCTTATCTTAAGTCTTGTGAGTATAATATTCTACAAGACTGAGGGACTGATTACCTTATCTTAAGTCTTGTGAGTATAATATTCTACAAGACTGAGGGACTGATTAC